ATTTCAGTCGCGAGATAATTGTTTAGTATATAATTGCAATTTACAATCCTCCAAGCCAAGAGGTAATCATTCTATGTGATGACCATTAAGACCTGGTGGTTCTAGAGGTGCATGAACCCAGGTTAGTCCTAAACTTGCACCAATTGGGGCCATGCAATATCGGATGTAATTATAGACACTATAACCACAGAGGAGGCAGTTTCAATGGAGGATGAAGAGAGTGTGGTGGCATTGGATGAAAGGATAGGGTGATTTTTTGCAGCTAATCAATAACATACAGATATATTATGTAGGGTTACAACTTTGTGATGCCAAGCATGCATGTACGTAAACTTGATAGCACATGCTAGGGGCCTTAGTGGTTATTGAGATTGCACATAAATACATTATGGGCATGCTTATGCCACGATTATGTTCTACTATGATTGGGGTAGATTAAAGCAACCTTTTTGGGGCTAGATGCCATAGTGAAGAAATGTGTGTATCTTGTGTTGCAGGTTTGGACACTACCCAACACAGACATTTGGGAGGGTATCCTTTTGTCCTTGAACGCAAAAGTTGAGGAATTTATAGAGTGACCAATTTGCATAACAATCAAGTACAGGAGTTTAGTGGTGGACTTTGATATTTTTCACAACTATCTAGTGTGGCACAAAAGTGGGTGAAGAGGATGTTTCCATCATGACAAAAAGTGTATTCAATACCATAAGAATTGCTCAAAGTAATAGAGCATGAATAAAAAGTTTAACAAGCCCACTACCATAATGAGACTATGTGGGCTCTTCAACCACTCCTAAATGCAATGCACAACTCTAGATACCCTCAAACTCTTCAAGACTTGCCAAGTGAGCATGCAATACATGGTTTTTCAGATTTGCTAGATGAGCATGTAATATATATTTTTTCAGATTTAGAGTGTTGCAGATGTGTATAAATTTGCCTTAATATACAAGCTTTGCATCCATGTTTAGAGGAACAAGATGGCTTTCCCCTTAACTTTACTTTGTGTATGGCTGGTTTGTTGGTTGTTAGATGACAATATGCAAGACTTTGGAGGGTCAACGAGACAAGCTATGAAAGCTGTTTGGGGCTAAGTACAACTTGTTTTGCAATCATACTTCAACAAATATGAGGGAGGGTGAAGTTAGCACACACATGCTCTTGGGGCCAATTTTTGGTCAGCTCATACAGCCACTCAATCATCAATCCACACATGAAAGGCATCTGCATGTATATAAAAATTTCATATAGATGTATGTGGTTAGGATCATGATGTTTCATATCCTAATAGCAAAGATGCAATCAGATTGCCTATGTAGTTGCTTTGCTCTATGTGGTTTGCAATGGTATAGATACACTTCATGTTAGCACGCAATAGTGGGTGGTGTTTGAGGACCTTCACCTCTAGGTGCCATGCATATGGGAGCCACTCAACACGATATAAAGTGTGGTGGAAGGTGCCATAGATGACTAACAAATTTTGCTCAGTAACAGAAGGCAAAACAAAGGTCTATAAGAATATACAAAGATTTTGGGGTGGTGGAAGTTGGTACTATGTACTAAGAGACTCTTGAGTTTGCCATTAAGAGTATTGTGCATTGCATTTTCTTTGTCAAGACAACAATGGTGACTAGTGCTCTGCAAATAAGCTTTCAACACTGTATAATATCCATCATATAGCACATGAGCATTGACTTTGAGAAGATCATGGCCAATATATTTACCTCACCTTACAACAAGTTATATTCACTTACTCAAACTTGTTGGATGTATATCTACCAAATTTATTACAAACGGTTTGGTGGCAAAGACAACATTATATGTTTACACATATGCTTGGTAGAGATGGCAATCAAAAAGTGATTGTATGTATAATATTTTGCATGCAACTCAAAACAAAAAAAATTAATCCACATATGTATAAATATATAATGCTCCAACGTGCAATCATATATTCATTGTTATAGCTACAACAATATGTATAGTATATCCCATCTTGAACTGTATAAGTGAAAACTTGTATGTTTAATCTTTTGTTCTTATTTAGAATGTATTAGATTTCCCTTCTCTCATACGACTTCAATTAGGGGTGAATATTCATCTAATGTTTTTTATTGGCATAATATGTGTTATCAAGGAAAGAGGATACATGTAGGAATGATATTGATAAAGATATATTTGAGATTAAACAAATGACACCAAGACAAGCATAATCAGAACTCATTCTTGGGGATAACTAGGTAAGTTTTAAATATTGACTATAGTTGACTTATTAACTAAAGTGTGAAGGCCTTTATATGTTAGTAGTTTTATTATATTGAAATTAAAAAAACCTCTGCTAACAAACATTATTGTACAGGTATAATACTTTCAATAATATCTTATTTTCTTTATAAAATTTAAAAATAATTTTCTGCATTTTACATATAATAATTCTTAGTTTGTTTAATAGTAATATTATTCTTACTTATTAATCTTATTGATCAAATGGAAGTTTATAATTATAAACATATTTATAATTTGTAAAAAAAGATTATTATTATTGCATATCAACCATTAGATGTTATAATAAACTATAATATATTATAGAGTGCTTATAATTTATAAAAATCTTTATAAGTTATAAATAAAGATTAATCTAAATGAATACAACCGTTAGATGGTAAAATATTCTAGAATACCAAGTATATTTTAGGTATATTCACTACCACACCAGTGAGAAAACCATCTAAAATATACTTGTATTTTAGTAAATACTCAATGAAAGATATCAAGGATTTAATTCCTATTGATCACTTCAATAGCCAACTTCAATTCTTATTCACCAGCCAACTTTAACTCTTATTAATTTCTTTATCAGCTAACTAAAAGACAAGCATTTCATGTTATAATTATCCCAAGATAACCTCCTTAAAATCAAGAATATAACCTTAATAAATTAGTGAATATATTCATGGCTAATAAATTTTTTAGTTTTGATATATTTTGCAAAAATAAACTTAGAAGCATCATTATTTGACTTTTTCCTTTTAATGCCATAGTCAGATATAACTATATTAAATTTAAAACTAATAGCCAATTTGTGAGAGACTTAGCCATTCTTTATAGCCTCTTGATCAATAAGAATATATCATCAACATTTCCTAATCATGTGTGAATTTATAGCTTCTGAATTTTTTGTCCTTCTCTTCTTCCAGATTATAATTGTACAAATTGCTTAAATTCTCTCAAAGCTGCTATAAATTTAAATTCTCTCAAATCAATTGTATGCAAAAACTTTGGATTTTCTTCCTTCAATATGATATTTTTGAGGTTTGATAATGGTTATAGACAATAATTCTACACAATACATACATGCATACAATATCAAATTCAAGATACATTTAAGTTTGTAATTTGAAAAGAACTCTACACAGGTTTTACTATCTATTTTTGAGGTTTGATAAAAGCCAGAAATAATAAACTGGTTTAAACCTTCAATTTTATGTTTATTAATTGGTGGAAGTTATCAACTAATTGTACTTGTTTCTGATTTTTCTTTTTAATGAGAAATAAGGAGAATAAATCTTATTGTTTGATGCTTCCAGCATACAGACCCGATCACAGCTGTCTAGTGTAAATGGCATGGCAAGTAGAACTTCTTTAGCTCCACACAAATGAACACTTCTGCAAAGAAGATCAACCACACATCCA